CCAGTAATAAGGGTCAATTTCTCGAAATTGAGATTTATGCGACTTAACACTGCTTTTGTGCTCACATATGTTCCTTTTCTTTAATCCTGAACAGAAATTCGCCAGCAGGAGGATGGGATACAGGAGCTAGAAAAGACGCTCCTGAAACTCCGTCAGGATCAGAAAGGTAGACGTCATGTGTTGGTGCACCAGGCTGTTTTTGTCTGCGTTGCCTGATTGTGTGACTGTGGCGTGTGTCGTGTTCAGAGTCGCTGCTGCGATACTGTGTGGTGTGGAACACTAATTCACGCAGCTGTCTGGATGCCCAGGCCGTGCTGCAGGTGCTGCTCACACACCTGAGCCCGGAGGAAATCCTGCAGTATCAGGCCACTCGTACTCATCTCGAGGCCCTCATACCCTACACAGGTGGGGTATTATTTTTAATACAATTAAGTTCACCCATGATAAACACAAGAGACCAGTATTTCTGGCTATTGCATTGAAATCTAGCGTAACAAATGTGATTGTTTCTTACTTCCTGCAGAGAGACACATGCAGCGGATTGGCCGTCTCCTGCAGGCCTCAATGTTTCTCGATTATATGTGGCAGAAGATGCGTATTACAGGTGGTATCGACAGGTAAAGTTTTCCCAAAACGTCCTGGAATTGTATTCATTAAAGGGGTCATATGACGTTGCTAAAAAGAACATTATTTTGTGTATTTGGTGTAATGAAATGTGTTCATGCGGTTTAAGGTTCAAAAAACACATTATTTTCCACATACTGTACATTATTGTTTCTCCTCTATGCCCCGCCTTCTGAAACGCTTGATTTCTACAAAGCTCAACGGTCTGAAAAGCGAGGTGTGCTGTGATTGGCCAGCTATCCAGTGCGTTGTGATTGGCTGAACTGGCGGCAACAATACTACAGCGAGAATAAAAGTTACGCCTTCTTTCTTTGCGTGAACATTTGGGCGGCGTTATGCAAATCTTCCCACATTGTGACGTAGACGTGGGGGCGTGTTTAAACGAGGCGTTTTAGGAGGACGTGGACGAGTCTTAACTTTTATAAAGAATATCTCTTTGGATTTGAGACTTTAGTCTTTGCAACTTTACAGATCTTCTTTATGCACCAAGAGCTTGTAACACTCCAAAGAGAAAGGAACACTTGAAATCGCATCATATGACCCCTTTAAAACAGTGTTTTTTGCTAAGGGAAGCATCAGTATTTCTATTGTTCAGGGTTATTGATCTGAACAAACTCCTAACTATGAATATTAAACTTTGGTGCGAAACAAGTCCTTTATATTTGTGCTATAAAAACGAATGATCAACAATCTAGCAAACATCTTACAATGTCAGAAAACCCACCCAGACTTGGATGTATAAATCTAAATGCATAAAGCTTTTACCCAAACAGATGTCAACACAGTAAAGTATGTCACATACTAAATTAAATTATTTGAAAAGATATTTCCTTGGTTGACCCGTCTACAGTTCTGTCGAATTACACGAGTCACCGCTTAATTACAATCTTTCAGGAAGTGGGTTTAAATAAATACAGTGCACCCAGATTTACTTTTAACAAATGTTAAATATTTCTTTCACCTATTAAAGATTCACTCAAACGTCTTATTGAGTTTCACTTATTAAACATCTTGCCAAATTTTCCCTTGCTATTGTTGATATCCCTATGATATGATTCCAGATTCCAGATTTTCAAATAGTTGTATCTCGACCAAATATTGTGCTATTCTAACAAACCATACATCAATGGAAAGCTTATTTACTCAGCTTTCAGATGATGCATAAATCTAAATTTAAAAAAATTGACCCTTTTGTCTGGTTTTGTGCTCCAGGGTCACATATTTATGTTTTTACTGTTTTTATTTTATAATACAATGCCGTTTTTTATGTGTGGTTCCCCTGTCATTCGTTTGAAAGTTTGTTCATTACATCACCTGTTGGTCTGCTGCTTTTCTCTAGTGTGAACTTGGATGATGATGATGATGATGAGCTGGACACCAGCCCTCAATCCATCTTCATCATAGACAAGCAACCAGTGGAGATGACGGACAATCCAGTATCTCAGCAGCGACAAGAAGATGAAGAGGAAGCTCTGGAGGATTCAGAAACAACAGAGCAGCTCCTTGATGAAGATGAAAGCGTCAGCACATCTAAAAGCGCTCATGTGAAACCGAACCGTGTGAACAGCGTCGTAGATGATAGTGAAGATGAGGATAATGTCATGGAAATTTCCACCAAGTCTACGGATTCTGACCCCTCCAAAACTGCAAATATAAGGTGATCGGCTGCTGTAGCTGTCAGTACTGTTTGTTGAATTCATGGACTGCTTATGACCTTCCTGAATTTTCTGATTCATCAACAATAAACAGGGGTTTCCTGTTTGTATCTCCGCACCAATTGCAAAATAACCTTAAGTGTTTTGTTAAGTAGCTGTTTTGTCATTCTTCAAATTAGATCATGTTCATATCTATTGGAGAAGAGGAATACGTTTTATTCTCCTTCATGTGTTTGAAATTATGTTCAGCTTGGAGGAAGATTCTTGGTTATAAAGCAAAAAAATGTATTTATAGTAATTCCGCAATTATTTGGAAGTCAATGGACAACATTAATAGGAATAAATGTTCAAATTAAACCACTAAAAGGATGATTTGGGCTTTTTTACATATCAAATACTATATATTTTAGTGAATGATGGTACATTTTAAATAACAAAAAAGAGTGTTCTCATTCTATGTTCAGTGAAACTTTTATTTTATCATTTTTTTTTTTTACTTGTATTTTCTCGTTTTCTCTAGTAATCGACACTGTTTGAGTTTAGAGTTACAGTTTGTCTCTTCCATTTGTTTATGTAAAAACAATTATGTTCACGAAGGCCAAAAGTAGTAAAAAAATGGACATGATGTGAGCCCTTCACAATCTTAAAAGAAAAAAGTGATATAAAGTCATGATATAGCTTTATTTTATTTTTGTGACTGGGTATGTTTATGCATAAACCCAAGCAATAATTAAAAAATTCTAACAATATGGTTTATATATTCAATGTTACTTAGTGGAGAAGAGAAGTATCCTCAGCGTAAACAAAGCTACTTACATGTGACAAAAACAACATGTTTGTTTGGAAACCAGTTACAATTTTAAAGTTAAATTGGTATTTAAATGTAAGAATGAAGTCATTTACCTGTTGAGAGTGTGTTGACAGTCTGTAGTTGGATCACTGAACTCCAGAAAATCAGTATTGAGCTGCTTCGACAGTTACAGGTTTGAAAAACAAAAACGCGAGAATAAAGAACCCTGAACTCTAACACAAAGAACCATTTCCGCATGAAAGGGTACTTCAGGATGCTAGAGTTCTAAATAGAACTGTCACTACGTGTAAAGAACCTTTAACCTTTTGAGCAGGACTTGGACACCTTTGGTTTAAAACACAGTAATATTAGCAATAAACTTAAAACAGGAATAGCCTGGAGAGCTACGTTCCTGCTGATCTCACTGCCAACCCTTCTCCAACATCTCAACGCATTTAGATTTATGCATTTGAATGCTTGAACTGGTTTTTAGTCATTCGTGCATGGGAATCGAACCCATGACCTTGGTGTTGCTAATGTCAAACTCTACTCTTTGAGATACAGGAATAATTAGCTGGTTAAGGTGGGATTGATTGAGTTGGAGCCAACGATTGGAGACCTCTGACTTGGACATTGGTCCTTAAAGAACTGACCCTAACCTGTGTTTTTTGGCATACATCACGCTTAATGAGATATGCTTCTTGTACATTGCCACTGCAAATGAAAAGATCTCTTTAACAATCCATTTGCAGAAATGAACACTCCAATAATGGCAGTCTTTAGGGTTAAATATTTTATTTTATATTTACAGGCAATCATCATGGGAAAAACATACAACAAATCAACTCTGAAGAGTGTACACAGTATATATAATATGTCAGGATATACAATGCATATAAGGCACAAGTAATATTTTCCACTATGGAAAAATATTCTTTCTTCAAACGAGGGAAAACTAGGAAAGACACAAATCTTAGATATATATTCTGTATCCGATTTCTAAAAACATTTCTAGGCTGTGTCGATCATTATCTTTTCTTCAGTAAAAGAACATCTACATTTGTCTATTAGAATAAGAGCAGCTTCTTTAGAAACATGTAGATCAATCATTTGTAACACGCGCAATATTCCATTCCGAGAATAAGATCTAAACTTAGTTCTAGTAAAATAAATGCACACAAGAATCTCTCCTGAAGCTCCATAATTTGTCCATCAAATAATCACATTGGCATCAAGCAAGTGTTACGCAGTGGACAATAATGCTTGGTCCCACTTTATATTAAGTGGCCGTAATACCTGTGTACTTACATAGTAACTAGATGTGTACGTAGTATGTAACCACAGTGCAAGTACACATTGGTACATAGTATCTACAGCTGTAATGTTTCTGTAACTACACACATGTAACAACCCTCAGGATGGTTTGTGTAAGTACAAATGTGTAACAGGACATTGGTAACAACACTTTTTTTCACTTCACTAAGTATTCGTGTAACAGCAATTAGAAAACTACATTTTGTAACAACAATATGTATAAGAGTAATTGGAACAATTTGATCCAGGGGGTGGAGATGGGTAGGTTTAGGGATATGTAAAGTGGGAGGAGTTGGATCTCGAGTTGGTGTACTTACATGGTAACTCCTCAAGAACTGTCCACTTAATATAAAGTGTAACATTCTGGACACCAACCACAATTTATATGTAAAGCCTAACTTACTGGCCGCTGCTGTGTAACATCAGAGTAATTACATGATAAATCTAATATAAAGTGTAACACTTTCTTTACCAAAAAGTGCTGTTCAAACATTACAGCTGTAGATACTATGTACCAATGTGTACTTCCACTGTGGTTACATACTACGTACACATCTAGTTACTATGTAAGTACACCGGTATTACGGCCACTTAATATAAACCACTCTGGACATGGACTCTTGGATTTTCTCCTCAAACATGTAATGTAACATAAAGTGCGTGAGACATTGGCCTAATTGGTTCTCTGCAGGTTTTTGCGTGTGACGGTGGTGCAGCGTTTGAGTATCTCCTGAGCTTGGGGTCTGGGTGGTATCTTGGGGGTGGAGGGCATCTTGTTGAGACTGGGGTCTGATCTGCTGCCGATCATCTTGCATTCTCCGGCACTTTCAGGGCTCAGGCTGCCTGAAGAGTCTGGCGTAGGGGTGCGACTCTGGCGTAAATGCTCTTCCGAATCCAAGCAATTTAGCGAATCGCTGCTTTGGTCGCTGAACGCTTCGCTGTCGTCGCTCAGACTGCTTTGCGGACCGTTCTTGGCAAACTCCACTCGGATTGACCGCAACCCACTCATTGAACGTGACATCTGCTTGTCTTTAGGGTCCAAGGTGCTTCCTGAAGGTCCCAGGTTGTCCTGGGATCTGCTAAGCTCACGGCCGGAGACCTGCAGGAAATCTTCTCCAGGACGTTGAAGCTGTGCCAAGTCAAGAGTGGAGCTGGTCATCTCCCTCTTAGCGGGCATCAGGTGAATCCGTGGGTTACTGTACGGTTGCAGGTACATAGCTGGTACAAATCCTGCCTTTCGATTGTACCTGAAGGATAGACAAAGACAGCTCTCAATCGTTGAGGACAGATCTAGGATTAGCATTAGAGCTTATGTAAAATCATTGGGTAAGTTGGTTTCATTGAAAGTAAACAAGGAAGAAGCAAACTGGCAAAACTAGTCCACAAAAATGAGGATGTAAAGCGAGTGCCAAGTTTGTTTCCAGACTCTTCAGCATGTCAGATGAGCAGGATAAGCATTGCTGCCCGTTACATAACTGCTGTGTATTTTCATCAGCTCATTTTTCTCAGTAAACGAGATGATTTACCTCACTATCCACCAGCCGTTGTCAGACTTCTGTAGCACCTCTACCACAGACCCGATCTCGACTGAGAGTTCATCACTGTTCATGGCTTTGTAACTTTTGGCAGCAACATAGAAAACACCTGACGAATGCAAAATGTTAAGAACAACTTGGTGAACAGATGAATGCATTCTTAACATCCAAACAGCAGTTGGGCCTGAACTTTGCAGGACGTTGACACCCCTGTACTTTTGATTTGTGCCTTCACAGTGATTTGCGACAACAAAGTCGCCAGAATTAATTCATTGTCAAAGTTAGTGGTATAAGCATAATTAGGTTGATTTCCATATTGGTTTCCAGGAAGGCTGATTCAGAACACAAGAATGTGCAGTCAAACCGGTTTTATTTCCAAATAAATACTGGCAGAATACATTAGAAACCACTAAACGGGTACGTACTGCCGCCATCCATCACATCAGGACCATCATCACCCATCTCAGCTCTCTGTAGATACGGAGCAGGAAACCAAGCGAGACATTTGGCTTCATTTTCCACCAGCCACCATCCTGATGAGACAAAGTACAGCAAGGTTAGAGACTACATTTTTAGAGACTCTGTGTAGTCTGGCAAACAATTCAAAGGCCAAATGAGTCGTTCTCACCTTTTCGGTCCCTAATGAGCACATCCACTATCTCATCCACCTCAACCTTGAAGGGTTGATTCTTGGTGTCCTTGGTCTCGTAAGTAGCTATGCATCGGTATGTTTCAGCAACAAAGGGTTGAGTAACATTGTTCATCCCGACATTACTGCTGCCCAGAGAGGTCTCTGATGGCATGATCACGATACTGCCGGACAAAACACAATCTTTAATTTGGTTCCGTTTCAGAGACTTCGTATTGTTTTGAAAATTCTAGCACGTGTTTATTATTTTCCGCTCTGCTTGTTTTTGCAGCATCCGCTTACCTGTTTTTTGCAAAGTCCGAATCGAGGTCCTGGGGTTTGGGAAGCAGGAACTGGAGGAGCTCTGAGCTCTGGCAGATACGGGGATCACTCTTCAGCAGTTCACTGCAGTATTCTTCCAGAACCTTCAGTCTGAGCACTGACTTACTGGGGCTCCACTTCTGCATGCTCTTCTGCACTCTTGCAGCTGCAAATACATTATTATTATTTTTTTAATATATATGACTTCATGATGAGGGCTGTACTTGAATTTGCACATTGTTTAATGAACAACTGGTAAAGTATTTACCTTTAAATTTGGGAATAATCCTTCCTGATCTTCTAAAGGGGTTTGAAGGAGGGAATTTCTTCTTGAGGTGTCTCTACAGTAATAAGCATGTAGATATTATTCTACTTGACTAGATAGATAAATAAGCGATGATAGATAGATAGATGGATAGATAGGCGATGATAGATAGATAGATAGATGGATAGATAGGCGATGATAGATAGATAGATTGATAGATGGATAGATAGGCGATGATAGATAGATAGATAGATAGATAGATGGATAGATAGATAGATGATGATAGATAGATAGATAGGCGATGATAGATAGATAGATAGATAGATAGATAGATAGATAGATAGATAGATAGGCGATGATAGATAGATAGATAGGCGATGACAGATAGATAGATAGATAGATAGATAGATAGATGATAGATAGATAGGCGATGATAGATGGATAGATGGATAGATAGATAGATAGATAGATAGATATATGGATAGATGGATATATAGATAGATGGATAGATAGATAGATAGATAGATAGATAGATAAGTGATGATAGATAGATAGATAGATAGATGGATGGATGGATGGATGGATGGATGGATAGATAGATAGGCGATGATAGATAGATGATAGATAGATAGATAGATAGATAGATAGATGAATAGATAGATAGGCGATAATGGATAGATAGATTAAATTAAGAGAAGAAAGGGTCTTACGTGGAGCGTTTTGAAGTCTTCAAGCGATCTGTACACAGTAATCTCATTGTGATCTGACCAGAGTACAGTGATCATGTAGAACTGAAGAGAAGAATGTATTAGACATTTCAATACTTCATTTTAATTACATCAAAGCTCTCGCTTTACATTACAGTCTTCAAGTATGTCCCAATGTTAATGAACCACTGTACATACAAGAGTGTTTCCTTATCCGATCTGACCCTTAAAAATTTAGTTATCAAGTTTTAAAAACTTGTGTTAATATTCTGTTATAATTTTTTAAAGAATAAAGAACTGTTACCACATGAAGCACATTTAGGTTATCTGACCTTTTTTTATTATTATGTATAATTATTATTATTATAGTATTTATATATAATAATAAATCAATTATACTAATGCTGATAAATTATAATAATGTGTTGTGTGTAGTAAAAACATCAATAATCTTATTCAAAACAACGGCAATGTATATTAAAATGTAATTATAACAAACGAATGCAAAATGGTAAAATAAAAAGTGTCTTACTTTAACTACTTCTTTCTGCATCACTCCAACAAGCTGTATTTTGACGGGGTGTCTTTGCTCGCCCATCCTGACCAGCTTGTGCTGCAGTAGATGAGTGTGTTGTCTGGTGTCTGACTGACTGACTGCTTTTATTTATCATGCCTCCAGCCAGAGGCGGGAACCAGTGCAATTACACAAACCGGAGAGTCCGCTGTTATGTCACCAATATTCCTTGAAGAAGCCTGGATGGAATATTATGTAAGTGCCACACATCGAACGATCGAACAGTTGTTGTTTTATAAATAGTGCAGGTTCTGTTGTGATTATAAGTCACTTAATGTGTGACAATATGCCCCGCAATATATATATATATATATATATATACACCCCCCCATCTAGTTTCGAAACAGCTGCTGTACTGGCATGAACTTTTAAACATGAGACCTGACCATTTGGAGTGTGGCTTTTTCATGGGCTTGAGCTAAATGAATGTTGTGCAACCATGCTTGGGACGGCCCACATAAACGAGCAAAAATGCTTGTTTGTACTATGGTAAAATAAATGTTCAGCGACATCTTCAAAAGATTTTTTAATTTTGGCGCACTTTTTTCCTATATAACGTCGATATGGTAACTAATAAACACTGTAAATTTTGTGTGTGGAAATATTCAAACCACGTGCATTATAACTAACCCCGCGTTACTAAAAAATTCTATGGAAGTCAATGGCAACAAGTGTTTGGTTACCAACATTCTTCAAAACATCTTTGTGTTCAGCAGAAGAAAGAAGCTCATTGAGCAACTTGATGGCGAGTAAATGATGACAGAATTTCCATTTTGGGTGAAATATCCCCTATAGAAGTTTATTAATGTAACTGTAAACTTGAGAAACGGCAGCAACGTAGTAATGTTTCAACTGGATATTATTGATGGAGAATGGAATACTTTCTTTAAAAGACTGGTGATGAAAGTGCATTGGGAAAACGAACATTCTAATTCTAATTCTGACAGGCTTATGTTGCAATCAGCCATAGCGGGAAATGGAACTAGTGTATGCTAAAACCAGACCATCTTATGAGTAGAGACCAACAATTAGGATTCTTGGAAGAGACATGAGTTAGTAGCCTACTCAGCCCTTCACATTAAAGCATGTGTCATAAAACAGTGCTGACATATTCATAAACCTTCCAGGAAACAGAAGCTAAAAAAAGAGACAGAGAAAAGATTCCCGTCGGGTTATAAGAAGCTTCAAGGAAATATAGGCAGGATTTCCTCTCGGGTGTGTGTGCGCCCAACAACCCAACCTACATTTGAAGCAGACACCTTTGTTTACTGTAACACGTTTTCACTGCTGAACGTGTTAAACAGCACTGAATCACTGGAAACCCCGTCATTCCAATACCAGATGCAGATTTGACATCTGTTTGAGTTAACACATGCATACAGGTTTCTCTGTGCTGTTAATTGTAAACGACATTATTAGTGGTATTTTGGTAATTACCAACTTACTGTACGATCAGATTTGCTGTATTTGTCGGGCGGGCGATAAAATGCAGTGCAAAATACTTGCGTTCTCACAAAAGCACTGAAATCTACATCATATTATCTCCATCTCAAAAGTTTCGCAAGAAAACGCAACAGCATTGAAATCCAATTCGCATTTTTTATATACCATCGCCACGTGCATTAAGAGACTCCACAGATGTACACTGAGCGATATTGTTAACTAGAAACAACAGTTTTTGTTATTTCACATTGCATGAACTAATAAGAACATATACGACTTTCTAATTTTATGTTCAGGCTATATTAGCAAAGATATATATAATTGATATTTAAACCAATGTAGTTAACTAAGTGTAATAGCGGTTTCTATTATGTGATAGTATTATTATTTTCTGCATGTCCATGTTGCTACAAATATTACTTAAAGACAGTGATTATGGGCATGTAATGTCAAATATAGCCTACTGTATTGCGTTATATGAAATTCAAAATAATTAATACAAAGCCTTGAACAATGGAAACATGCATTTCTCTATGTGACTAAACCAATAAGACGATTAAATAAAACGACTAAAATACTAAATTATATACATATAAACAGCTCAACTTTATACCACTGTTATCATTGATATACCATTATATTTTCTGGTAATATTTTGAATTACACTGTAAAAAAAAAAATAAAAATAAAAAATCTGTGACATTTACGGTAAAATACCGGCAGCTGTGGTTGCCAGAACTTCACCGTAAAAAATATGGTAGCAACATTTTAGGCTTTACAGACTTGACTTAAATTCACAATAAAATACCGTATTTCATTAACTGATGTAATGTTAATAAAGGTTATTTTAAATTGCAATCATATTTCACAATATTAGATTTTTTTTGTTGCATTTTTGCTCATATAAATACAGCCTTGGTGAGCATATATGTGACCCTGGAGCACAAAAGCAGTGTTAAGTCGCTGGGGTATATTTGTAGCAATAGCCAAAAATACATTGTATTGGTCAAAATTATCCATTTTTCTTTTATGCCAAAAATCATTAGGATATTAAGTAAAGATCATGTTCCATGAAGATATTTTGTAAATTTCCTACTGTAAATATATCAAAACTTAATTTTTGATTAGTAATATGCATTGCCAAGAACTTCATTTGGACAACTTTAAAGATGATTTTCTCAATATTTTTATTTTTTTGCACCCTCAGATTCCAGATTTTCAAATAGTTGTATTTCAGCCAAATATTGTCCTATCATAACAAACCATACATCAATGGAAAGCTTATTTGTTCAGCTTTCAGATGATGCATAAATCTCAATTTCGAGAAAATTGACCCTTATTACTGGTTTTGTGCTCCAGGGTCACATATATAATATCAGACCCTACCTTTATGACTTTGCATATGGGTCACAATTTTTTTTTTCCTGCGCTTTGAGTTAATCGTTTATGCTTTATTGCGTCGCCACTCTAAATATTGCATTACTCATACATAATTCAGTTCATGGCAGACCACAAAGCACATGGAATACGGTCTCCCATAATGCATTGTGCTCGACTTGACCTTCCTTTCCAACGTGAATCAATGAACTTTGGAAAGCTAATATAACCATAAAACGTATTTCTGTCATAACCATTTGCTGAAATAAGCATGTAACATAATGAGGTCATGTGACAATAATGTGGCTGTTTAAAAAGTACCAGTGTGTGAAATAATTCAGTCCATGCATTAAAGAGATGGTACTACGCCATCTAGTGGTACATCTATTATAACTAAAATAAATCACTTTCCTTTCAAACCTGAGAAAGTCGATCCATGTCCTGAACCCCACAAAACAACAACAGCAACTTCATTTTCTTATTTCCTTTATTTTCCTATCCTTTTGTGCCAATAAAAAGATCCCTCATAATTGTGAAAGGAGAATGAAATCAGCCCTATTATGTACATCCCCTCTTCCTGTACTGTAACAGCATGTGCAGTGGCCTTTCATTAGCTTAGCATTGCTGTAAATACATCTTCACCTTCAGGCAGCAGATTATTAGGTGCGGCAAACACACATCTTCATGAACACTTCTCTGTGACCACGTTTCTGGTTTTAAGGACAACAGAAGAACTCAAAACAGGAAAACATGTCAATTACTGGGTATGTGTTAGGCATAATGTGCATCATTAGTGGGATTTGGCCACGGGATGGGCCAAAAATAAAGAATTTTCTTTTCTATCGTCTTATTTTCTATGCACAAAATGTCATTAGGACATCTCAACACGGCTAGGTTGAAATGTGGCGTGGATCTGATGTTAAACACTCGCTAGTCTACAATTAAAAAGGAGGTTTCGGTGGATGAGGTACAGCAATCTTTCATTTCAAACGTCACATTCTTAGAAGTCTTTCTGTCTGTACAGAGCTTAAACTGATGATTATAAAAGTAGTTTATAGACACATCTCTGACTTTTAAGGCAAAGGGTTTGACTAAAGCTTAAATGGACGCATCTGGGTTTTGTAGCATCAGATCACGGCCATTAAAAACTGATGGGTAGTTTAAAATAACAGTGTTGTCCACCTGCTTTGAAAAAATCTTCCTGAGCCCTCCGATAAAAACACTTGCTTATTCTTCATGACATCTTCAGCGAGGACTGAAAGCCAGGTTGTGCTTCCGCGGCCTTGCATTCCGACGCACCGAATACCAATCAATACTCTCTGAGCTGTCGATATTAAAGTGAACAAGTGAGAAGTGATTATTCTCAAACCTAAGAGACTCGTATGGAAGCCTGTTTCCACCTCAGAATAATAATAATAATAATAATAAAGTTAATTGTGACTTTATAAATCACAATTTTGACTATTTCTCTCAGAGAGAGAAAAAAGTCAAAATTGTGAGATGTTAATTTAGAATTCTGAGAAAGAAAAAGTCAGAATTTTGAGATATAAATTGAAAATTCAGATGAAAAAAGTCAGAATTGCTAAATGAAATGCCAGATATAGACTCAGAATTGCACACAAAAAAAATAAAAATAATTATATATATATATATATATATGCTCCGAATTCCAAGAAAAAAAAGTCAGAACGGTGAGATGCCGTTTCCATGAATTCCATGCAGAATTCCATGAAAAATTTCAGATTTTTTTCTTTCTGGAATTCTGAGATATACATTTGGAATTCTGAGAAAAAAGTCAGAATTGCAAGATGTTAATTCCAAATTCTGGGGGAAAAAATAAAAAATAAAAGTCAGAACGGTGAGATACAAACACGTTTTTCCAAGAAAAATTTAGATTTTTCTTTTTCTGGAATTCTGAGATATACATTTGAAATTCTGAGGAAAAAAAGTCAAAGCTACGAGATATAAACTTCCAAAATTTGAAGGAAAAAGGTCAGAACTGCGAGATGTTAACTCAGAATTTTGGGGAAAAAATTGCAAGAGGTTAACTAAAATAACTAAGATATACGCTCACAATTTCCAGAAATAAATTAGGAATTGTGTAATACAAAAAAAGTCACAACTACCTTAACGTTCGTATTGCGTGGTGGAAACAGACTTCCATATACTTGAGATTCTTATAAACTGAGATTTTTTCAGCTTGCATAGCAAAACAAGGAGCGTAAAACTACAGATTTTTTTTCTTCCAAAATCCCAAAGAAATGTTTCATCCAAAGCAGCTTTACAAATAGCTTTACCACCATGGATTAATATATATATATATACCTCTTTCCAAAACACCTGACTCCGTTTCATTTCATCATAAAAAATATATCACACGTAGAAGCCAAGGACCCAGCTGCTATATCTGAGACTTTTGATGATACACCTTACGTTAATAAAAAACACCGTCTGAGGGCCAAGCAAGCCGCAGACAATAGCAACTCTATGCATCCATCGTAACGCACACTGAATCTTTGATACGCCTTCGAGAGACATCCCAGTGTCTGCATACGCCGTCCCGCTCACAGTCCTGTCACAGACAACGGTTAAAAAATTAATTAAAACAAACTCCTAGATTGGCCATGCTGTTTTATCAAATTACAAGGCGAAAAAAATAATGCATCCAGGGCAAAGAAAAACTGTGGTTTTAATCCCCGAACCTTCAGGATAAAAATAGTTTTCTAAGATGATCGGAGGACAGAAGCGGTAAAAACTAAAAAAGGAAAAGCAAAACGCTAACACTGCTGCGAATCCCCGAATCCCACTGGCTTGTGCAGACCGTCTCCTGACAGAGTTCTCCATCATCTGAACCCTTCACTGAGGGGAGAGGACAGCCGGGTCCTGGGCGTAATCATTAGACCGTTCCTCTCATGTCCGCTGTAGATTCACCTCCAGGACTTCAGTGTCACCGGAACTCGTAGATGGGTGCGCTGCGTTCAGGGACGTGTGTGAGCTTCAAAGATTGATACCTGATAAGAATAGGATTAAAACTGGGTTCTTGAGGTGAGCTATTAGGCCTGGGCGATAAAACGGTATCGGTATTTATCGACGGTACGCCTTCTTCGATAACGATAGAAAAAATGTTCGATATAGCGCACGATATAGGCAGGTGCTATGAGTGACGCAGACACGAACACATGCTGAAATGCCTGCCTGTGATGAGGAGATTGTGAATAAAAAAAATTTAATATTAGTCGAATTTAAAATAAACATTTGCAATGTTAGGGTGTGCATTCATCAGTGGCGCGCGAGATGCGGTGATGATGTAAGTGACGTTGTATTTTAATGTTTTGTTAGTCTAGCCCACGAGACGCGCCGCTGCTGCGTTATTCATTCAAAATATTAGAGAAATATTTTGAATGAATAACGCAGCAGCGGCGCGTCTCGTGGGCTAGACTAACAAAACATATACGAGTTAATTTAGATGTAATGCACGGTTTTTTATAATAGAGTTACTTCCTTGCGCTGACAATTTAAATGCGCTGCATTATTTTGTTCATTGCGCCCTCCTGTGGCCTCGGGAGACAAGACAAAAGTTTCCTCAAGACCTGCATATAAAACATTAGAAATTATATATTTAATTTTTATTTTGTGTTTGACTGTTAAAACAAAAAATATTTGTTGTTTGTCTCAATAATTTGGATTAATTAAAAAATACAGTAGTTAAACTTAAAAAAAATTTCTATTGCTCAATGTTTTAAAAAAGGTTATAATGTCAATAATTATCGATACCGAACGATGTGAAACATTATATCGTTGATACATTTTTTAGCTATATCGCCCAGCCCTATGATCTATATATATTGAGTATTTACATTAATTTTTTTGTATTTAATGAATAATTTTTTCAATTCCATACCATTCAGAGCTTCTGTGGTAGTAGTAACCCTCTATGGTGGCTGTAGACTTCTGGAAACAGATGTAGTAGAAGCCAGCGAAGGAAGCGCCGCTGATGTCTTTGATTGTGTGATCTGGAACTAGGAACTGCTCCTGAAACAAACACATTTTATTTCATTATTTACATTATTTATTTAGCTTTCATGGGTTCGTAGATATACACTACTGTTCGAGAGTTTGGGGTCAGTAGGATTTTTCTGAAAGAAGACTCTTCTGCTCATTAAGGCTGCATTCATTTGATCAAAAATACTGTTAATTTAGATGTAATGCACGGTTTTTTATAATAGAGTTACTTCCTTGCGCTGACAATTTAAATGCGCTGCATTATTTTGTTCATTGCGCCCTCCTGTGGCCTCGGGAGACAAGACAAAAGTTTCCTCAAGACCTGCATATAAAACATTAGAAATTATATATTTAATTTTTATTTTGTGTTTGACTGTTAAAACAAAAAATATTTGTTGTTTGTCTCAATAATTTGGATTAATTAAAAAATACAGTAGTTAAACTTAAAAAAAAATTCTATTGCTCAATGTTTTAAAAAAGGTTATAATGTCAATAATTATCGATACCGAACGATATGAAACATTATATCGTTGATACATTTTTTAGCTATATCGCCCAGCCCTATGATCTATATATATTGAGTATTTACATTAATTTTTTTGTATTTAATGAATAATTTTTTCAATTCCATACCATTCAGAGCTTCTGTGGTAGTAGTAACCCTCTATGGTGGCTGTAGACTTCTGGAAACAGATGTAGTAGAAGCCAGCGAAGGAAGCACCGCTGATGTCTTTGATTGTGTGATCTGGAACTAGGAACTGCTCCTGAAACAAACACATTTTATTTCATTATTTACATTATTTATTTAGCTTTCATGGGTTCGTAGATATACACTACTGTTCGAGAGTTTGGGGTCAGTAGGATTTTTCTGAAAGAAGCCTCTTCTGCTCATTAAGGCTGCATTCATTTGATCAAAAATACTGTAAAAACAGTAATATTTTGAAATATTATTACAATTTAAAATGTAATTTATTCGAATTTCCAGCATCATTACTCGTCTTCAGTGTCACATGATCTTCAGAAATCAGTATAATATGATGCTCAAGAAACATTTACAATAATGAAAACAGCTGTGCCGCTTAATATTGATACAATGATACATTTTTTCAGAATCCTTTGATGAATGGAACGTTCAAAATGGAATGTTTTTTTTAAACATCATACATGTCTTCACTCTCACTCACGATCAAATGTAACGCATCCTCGCCGAATAAAAGCGACACTTTCTTCCAAACAACAAGAAAAATCTTCCTGAGCCCAAACACTCGAACAGTACCGCATATGGTTTTAGTCATAAAATATACCTTCCACCGCATGAAGACGTAATCACTATTCTTTAGTTCTTCATAGTCGAAATCATCCGAATTGAAGCTTTTTGCGTACTGATAAAATGCCTGAAACTTCCCCTGAGAGAAAAACATGTTTAGCAGATCGGTTTCTACCATGAACCACACTTGAGTCATGATGCATAATGATGCATAATCCTGATTTGTGTAGAGCATTATGCACACACTGAATCATGACTATTTATTACCCAGTGTTTTCGGTCGACGTCCTCATCCGCGTCCCATTTCCTGGTTAAAAAAGGCCGTTTCTTGCTTATGATCTCCCCAGCAAAGAATGTAGTGAGTGTGGGATATTCCTACAGAGAGCAACAAGTATTTAAAATCAAACAAATGCGCTCTTAAAGAGCATAAGACTTTAACTTTAACTTTACCCTGCCCAAACTTTAAAAAGTAGTGTAATGTAGGTAAAATACTCTGTACTGACATGACGATTGAACATGAATACAATGAATAAGATATATGAATATAATATAAATATCATTCTTCTCTGAACTCATTTAGGGAAAACAATAGAACACGATCATTCTTTGACTATTTTTAACTAAATTTTACTGTATTTTAGTTCTTGCATTACACATCTGGAATCTTGTTTGGAGTTATGATAGACTGGAAGAATTTATTATTATTTTATTTTTTTGGAAATTACCCTTTTACGCAATTGCCGGGAAATGACAAATATCTAAATAAACACCAACTGTCCCATCTGTTTTATAATTCCTCGACGCACTATAACCGAACTGCAGTCACAGTGGCTTTTAAAGTGTATGTGGGTCAAAGACGAAAAAGGGTTTAAACATAAAAACAATGAGTGTAATACTGCTTTAAATTGTTATTGTTTTTCCCCAAAAAATCTAAAAAGTTTTCCGTTTAATGTAATTGCAATTTTGTTTTTGTTTTTCCGAGCAAAAAATAAATATCATACATTTTCCCCTGATTTACAGAAGACACCCTCAGTGTAACAATCTTGTCAGGCATATTAAAAATCAATCTATGACATATTAAAAGACTACTTTCACCCCCAATACTAATTAGTTGTAATTTAAAATTTTTTAAATGTGCCACTATCCTACGTTTTGCCCATTTGTCATAATTTTTTTTTTACTCATTTAAAACACAATGAAATTTAATACGCTCCCTTATTATTTTATATATTTTAATATGCACAAGTCAGAATAAGCATGTCGTTCTTCGTATGTGAATTCTTACATAACTCTGAATGACAACGTAACATTATTTCAACCAAATCTTGACATTTTAATCTCCAACAACTTATTTGAAACCTTAAAAGTAGACACTTTACTTACATTTAATGTGCTTTCTATGGAATCACTTTTGTAAATGTATTTTGATGCGGACGTCTTTGACCCCTATAGGCTTCTGTATCTTGATGAACTCACTGACTATCAGCGTGAGGACAGCAGCACTTTATAAAGAGCCGTGTCCAAACACACAGACCAGATATCTCACGCCCCGTCATAAACTGATCACCAGCTACTACAAAGCATCTGACAGATGTAGTGAACAGGTCACAGTGTGGTTATGAGTCTGGCTCACCTCTGTTAGACCTTTGATCTTCAGGTAGCCACACAGGTACGAGTCCTCCATGGTCACGTGCTGTGGGTCCAAAGCAACGGTGTTTAATAAAACCACTGAGAAATAAATCTGCAAATCTGGGTCAGTGCGATAACATTCAATGCTAACCTGGCCTCAAACATGACAGTCAAATTGCCTTGTTTTACTTAAAACTGGGTAACTGATCCACACTGGCTGCACCTCCAGATTCACTGACATAGGAAATTATTAACGGAAACGCGTTTGTAAACATTACACACCTAGCCAGCAGTTTTGGCCTCAAGTACCTAGTAGACTGCCTGTTTGTAAACAAACAACATTTTAGGGCTTCGTGCTCTATAACCTAGTCAGCTGACTACTTAGACAGCACAGTCATTTGGATGGATTCGCAGGTGCGTTGAAGCCCAGAATGCTGCCTAGCTAGGGAGCTCCCTCGTTACTTAGCATTCGTGTTTACCTGCAGAACCACCTCGACATCATACGAGTTTCCTTTGCTCTTCTGGTATCCGCGGAACTGGGAGCCGCTGTACAGCAGAGAGGTGTTGACGCCGGGCTGATGGGTATTGATCGGCGGGGGCGGCACGAGAGAGGCCGAGGCCGAGGCCGAGGCCGTGCAGGCCAACGACGAGCCCTGACAGCAGTCGGTACGGACCGGCATGTTTGTTCGCTTCCGCGGGGCTCTCCCCGAACACAACCAGCTGAGCGGCGCTTTTCTGACTCGCTGGAACAGGAGAAAACGCGACACTGACGGCGCGATGCGTACGTTTCGGAGTATCTCCCGCAGGACGCACGGCTACGTCCCTTCAGAGCAGAATGAAGGCGAAGTCATGTGACACAGCATGCTGCTATTTGATTGGATGACGGACATCGCGTAGCAAGGACGCTGAATGCTCATTGGCTGCTTTGGGAAACGCAGGATGGGATTTGTAGTTCTACTTGATGGAAGCGTTACTGAAGAAATGAAGGGAGTCGTTTACGTTGTAGATGTGACTGACAGCTGTTTCTAAACAACGAATTTGCCAGTAAAACATGTTTAACGGTTGTCAGTTTGTGTATATATATACAAAAAATAACATTCTTGTTGGTGTAATGTTTTTTTTTTTTTAACGTGTGATATTTTAATACACAAAGTACATAGCACAAAGGATTGTGTTAGCTATGGGAACTTTAGTACATTTAGATATATATATATATAATTGTAACGCTAAATTTATACAGCTGCCTACATCCCATTTGAGAAATGTCCTTTTATGTACATCTCTATTACAGTCAACAAATGGAATTGCTGTAACACTGATACCTCCCAGTAGATGGCAGCATTGCATAAAAGACCAAAAAAATTTAAACCTAATGCATCTCAGTATTTAATAAATAAAATAATACAGCTGCATACTTGTTTACATCTAACAACAAAAATAGCTAAATTAATTTACAGTAATTTTTTCTCTGAATCAGGCTTGATAAACATTTTAATGGTGCTCAGACAATCTCATGGCCTCCAGCTCATCCTTCACATAACTAATGTAGTTTCGGATCTCTGAGATGCGCTCGCCATTCCTCTTCACCTCTTCATCGTGTATCTATTAGCACAAACAAAAAGATTCAAATTTTTACATATGATAATATTACAAGTCTTTGTGACCCTGGACAGCTGCAAGGCTAGACTGTGACAAAATAAAATAAAATATAAAAGGCCAATATATAATATAATATAATATAATATAATGTTGATGTCTAAAGGCACAGGAAGTGTGTTCATAATCACGTACTGATTTCAGCAGCCGCTCATCCACTGCATTGGTCACTGTGTCTTTATCTACCAACAGCTACAGAGCAGCATTGGAAATGAGAATGAAAGAGCAATCAATACTAAAATAAGTGTCTGGGACATAAATAGTTACCATGACTTCTTTTTGACTTCATTATTCATAATGGATCAACACAAATTCTTATCATTTGTTTCTGTGTCAAGCGATCAAGACTGTTTTCACTGACCATGGCCACATCATCATGTATTTACATTTACATTTAGTCATTTAGCAGACGTTTTTATCCAAAGCGACTTACAAATGAGGACAATAGAAGCAATCAAAACTAACAAAAGAGCAACAATATGTAAGTGCAAATGACAAGTCTCGGTTAGCCTAACTAGCCCTAGTAGCAAGGTATTTTTTTTTAGATATATATACAGTATATATATATATATATATATATATATATATATACACACACACCTCTGGCCTCGGGCCTGTAGGTTTTAGGTTGATTCTGCAGGTTCAGGATGTACAGGACAACATCCCAACAGATGGGCATTTCATTATGAGTCAGATATTGGGTTTTTTCATCACTCGGCTCAAACTACATTTAAAAAATCTCAAAGTGGATCTAAGCGCACTGGAACAAACACACTTCTGTAAAATTCCTCCCTGGAAAATAAAAACAAAACAAAAATAATTTTAGATTTAACAAGAAACAAAAAATCTCAAGAGGAACTTGGCCTTTAAGTCTTTTCCAATGATTGACAGGAGTATCGATCAATCAATTAAAAGCTCAGCTTGTTTAGACCAATCAAACAGCGCTCTGGGCGGGGCTTATGCGCGCTGGCTCTCTCTGTCGGCGGACTGTTGTTGTTGTTGTCATCAAGATGGAGTTCTTGTTAGGGAATCCGTACAGCTCTCCCGTCGGCCAGTGCATTGGTGAGTTAGCGGCTTACATTAGCCTCTCCTGTAATAGAATGTGTTTTAATAACAGATAATAGACCATATTTATCCATCGCTCGTGTTTAAATGTGTGTGTTAGCCGGCAGCATCATACAGTCAGCACTGTTAGCTACATTAGATGATGTGCTAGTCAGCGTCTTCATCCGGTGAAAACACACAGATGTTTCTAGGAAACTCTATTAATTTGTTTTTATTTTTGGAAAACTCATAACTAGAAAGTGAGAAGGTTTCGCCAGCAGATCTTTACTTATAAATACAATTTTACGTACTGGTAAAAAACGTAAAGCCTGAATGCTCTGTAAGTCGCTTTGGATAAAAGCGTCTGCTAAATGCATAAATTATTATTATTATTATTATAAATAACAGTCTGAGTAGGACTTGAAAGGAGACTGAAGCTGAAGCTGTCTCTAACATTTAACAGTTAGGACTTACTAACTCATTAAATTCATTATAATATTAGTTTTACATGAAGAATGCTATCACTGCTGAGGGATGTAACAATACATGATTTTTGGTTTAATAAATGATACTCACAAATTAATAAATGATACTCACAAAAATTATACTCTCACGGTATTTTAAACAAAGCCAAAATAGTTTTAACATGTTCTGGAAATTTTTAAACAGATGATAAACAGGTTACAAAAAGTACTGTTATTTAACCAGAATACAAATATTCATGATTCTGCTACATACATTTTTAAATACTGTATTTAATAAATAACGACAACAGGATTATAGTGTTTGACTGATTAGAAGCATAAAGTTAATTTGTCAGTCTTTTTGAGCAGTTCATTAAAAAAAGAATCAGCTCATTATGAATCAAGAGTCATTCGTTCATGAATCATTCTGTATGTTCAGCAGTGCCTCTGATGAAGATTAGGAAGCACTGATGAATATAGCCATGCATCTTGCCTGTTTTCCGCTCGCTTTCTCTAGTCTTGCACTCCACAAATCTTCTTGAGGAGATTACTGGAGGATTGTCCGTAAGAAGTTGCTTGGTTGGTTAATGGAATATTCTGGGTTCAGTACAAGTGAAGCTAAGTTGACAGCATATGTGGAATAATGCCGATCACAGCAAACAAATATTTTCATCTCCTCACTCTTTTTATTACCAAAAATCAAAAATGGAGACTACATGGAAGTAAATGAGGCCAATTTTCTGAGGATTTAAAAGCAGAAATGTGCATTAAAGCACTTACATTAATTCTTCTGTTAAAACGTGTGTATTATTTGAGCTGTAAAGCAGTTTAAATAATTTTAAAAGTAATTTTACGATTTGTAAGTAAATTCTATATTGACACCCATTCAGGCGTTTCGGGTCGGAAAGATTATGAAAGAAATATCTTATGCTCACCAAAGTTTATTTGATCAAAAATACAGTAATATTGTGAGATATTATACAGGCTAATACATTTTTCTATTTTAATATATTTTAAAATTAAAATATAATTATATAATATAATACAGTATAATAGAATTTATATAATATGATTATTTAAAATTTATTGCAGCAAAGCAATGCTGATTTGGTGCTCATTTCTTATTATTATTAATGTTGAAAACAGTTGTGCTGCTTAATACTTTTGCAATCACATAAAAAAAAAAAAAATAATAAAAGGAAAGGAAAGACACTTGAACTGAAACTGTACTGAAACTAGAATCCGCCAACTTAGACTTATTTCATCTTTGGAATGCAAATGAAGATATTTGTAATTTTCTCTTATCATTTATGTCCATCTATTGAGAGTCCACTCAATCAACATTTTCAAGCTGAAGTTAATATAGAGATTGTAAAAATAAAACATGAATTAAGCGGTTTCATCCAAATCTTCTGAAGAGACACAGTCAATGTGTATATATTATTAAATTAAATCTGTTTATCATATAAAGTGATCTTGTCTCTTGGATTAAACCGTTTGATTCAAATGCTTTATTTTTACAATCTCTTTCTTTATTAACTTCTTGATGCTTTAATGTTTGGAATGGACTTTCAAAGGACAGAAATCTCAGGTTTTCTTAAAAAAAATAAATCTTTATTTTTGTTTTGAACATGAACAAAATTCTTGGGTTTGGAAAGACATAAGGGCGAGTAAATGATGACTGAATTTTCCTTTCATTTAACTAACATGTTAATTTGGTGTCAGCTGTCTTAGCGCACTTATAGTGAGAATTTTGTCAACCCTGGTGAAAAAAAAGCCGGTGTAAACACACAGATGTTTCTAGGAAACTCTATTCATTTGATTTGATTTTTGGAAAACTCATAACTAGAGAGTGAGAAGGTTTCGCCAGCAGATCTTTACTCATAAATAACAGTCTGAGTAGGACTTGAAAGGAGACTGAAGCTGAAGCTGTCTCTAACATTTCCGCTGACACAGAACAGCATACGCTGTTTACATCCAGCGGATATTCTCCAAAATGGCGCTACGGTGACGTGGTTGTAGTTAGCTGGTGTGACAATAGCTTTTGAAATGCATACGGTGTGTGTTGAGCCACCGGAATTAAATGTTTTGTCTTGCCTGTGTTTGTTTGTGTCAGTAATTGAGACGGCCTGCTGATCTGTGTTTGGTTTGTTTCTCACAGAGAAAGCCACAGATGGCTCCCTGCAGAGTGAAGACTGGACACTCAACATGGAGATCTGTGACATCGTTAATGAGACCGAGGAAGGGTGAGAGAGCAACACGCTTGCACACAGCGACTCATTCAGGAAGACACTGAGCCGTCTGAGGAGCAGACTGACTGGGAATGTGCTGTCGTAGCAATGCATCTCATCAGTAACGGGTTCTCACAGTCCCTCCCGGCCCCGTTAACAGCTGACATTGAGAAGCATAAAACATCTTGTCCAAACATTTGAGACAATTGTCAAAATATCAGGTTTGTCTCTGTTCTGTGTGAGGGAACACAGGCTGTTTTTTTTCCTGTTGCATTCTAAGATGAGTGTGCTTTCAAGAATGTAAACAATCTTCCCTTTTTTTAACTATGTATTGAATTGTTTACATAAACGCTTCTTTAACTAGACTAAGCATACATTTGGACTTTGTTAGAATAGTTCGGTCTTAAGCTATAATATTGACAGAAAGTGCATTCAAGTATTCATTATTCAAATTTCCAGTCAATTTTGTCCCGTGCAGTTTTGATTTTCACTTCTGCTATTTTGTACTTCCCATAATGCAAGATAGTATTACTTGTAGTTCCTCCTCTCTGTTAGACTACTTTCCGTAGTATTGAATAGGCGAAAAACAGTAAGCGAAAAGAGTCTGAATAAACTATTTATAAACAAAAGTAGGTGAAACGTAACCATATGACCAACTACTTCATCTGATTAACATTTAATGATTTACATTGTAGCAACACAACTGGAGGCTTAAGTCACATGACAATGACAACATAGCAAATGTAGTTCATCCGGTTTTTATTCACATTCATACTAAACAGAGCATACTTTTTAGTGGTCGCAAAGTACTTACTTATTCAAAAGAGGTACCTACTGAGGGAGTATGCAATTTCAGACACAGACGGACTGAAGTTTGAGTCGGAGCAAAGTTCAGTCACAAGACATTTGGCAGCCATCTTCATAACAGCCCTTATCAAGAATGCTGATTGTTTCTTTTAACTGTTGATATATTGAGCATCATTCATTTTTACAGTTAAATCGTCTCTACGTTCAACTTTTGATAGATAATGATGTTGTTCTTGCTGATGAAAGCTTATAAAAAGACAACATGAGACCTTTGACCCCACCATGGGAAAAAGCAAAGCTGGGAGAAAGCTGATGATCTTCCTGTCCCTGAATTACAGTGAGTTTGAAAATTGAGTCTTTTAATTCCTATCCCGAGCTCACAAGAGTGCTCTGCTAAATTGCATGTTATAAAATGGATAGTTATGATCCTGGATACTGATTGGTCAATCCAATCATGCTGAAATACGCAACGCAGAAATGTCTATGATGCAAAACAACAGCTTTTTACAGTAGCTACTTTTAGGGGTTTGTTCAGATCCCTAACTCGAAGTCTGAGCAATACCACTACAAATTTGTTAAAAGGATAGTTCACCCAAAAATGAAAATTTCCCCATGATTTACTCACCTTCAAGCCATCCTAGGTGTATATGACTTTCTTCTTTCAGACGAATATAATCCGAGTTATATTTAAAAAATTTGAATATTTCTCTTACACAAACGCATTGCTTTGCTTCAGAAGGCTTTTATTCACCCCCCGGAGCCATGTGGAGCACTTTTTATGACTTTTTATGACTTCAAAATCTCGACACCCATTCACTGCCATTATAAAGCTGGGAAGAGCCAGGACATTTTGAAATATAACTCCTATTGGATTCGTCTGAAAGAAGAAAGTCATACACACCTAGGATGGCTTGAGGGTGAGTAAATCATGGGGAAATTTAAATTTTTTGGGTGAACTATCCCTTTAATATGTGATACAGCTACATATCAATAGCTCTTTAAGGCCTGTTCACACCAAGAACAGTAACTATTGAGTGAGCCGTGCTTTATACATAGCTACACTAGTACTGACAATAGACATTGGACCTTTTTTTCTTGTGAAATTTGCCAAAATTTTGCTAACTGTCTCAATGTTTTTTTTTTTTTTTGTTTTTTTTTGAAAGACAACAATGGAGTCCACGCCGCAATTAAAAGCAGTTTTTTTAAGAGCAACGTTGACAACATAACTGAAGCTTATGCTTACAACAAATATAACATTAATGTCTGTTGGTGTGTACAATAATATCGTTATAGTTATTCTTGGTGAGAATTAGGCTTGCTGCGATAGACGGTGCTGACGGTGATACCGGTGTTAAGCTGCAACACCGGTTACGTCACTTGCCCACCGCGGCACCGACCCCCACCGTCGTTTTGAATTTTTATAGTAATAAAAATCATTTAGTTCAGTAAAAGAACAGACACTACAATTAAAAACTGAACGGAAGGAAAGCGAGGAAGCGAGGGAAAATTCAAACGAACTAAAAATGAACAATTGCTTTACTCCGAATTGCCGCTATTTGAAAGTGAAACTAAAATGCACACGCCGCTTTTACAAGCTATTTAAAAGCGAAGGAAAGCGAGGAAAAGAGGGAACGCCCCCGCCCCCGCGGTGATACCGGTATTACCGGTGTTGTCACACGTCGATTAACCGGTGGGAAAATTTCCTCACCGTCACAACCCTAGTGAGAATGGGCCTTTAAGCTGTTGTCAAGTCATCTAAACTGTGTGCCCCCACAGGCCCAAAGATGCCATGCGCGCAGTGAAAAAGAGACTCAACGGCAACAGGAACTTCCGTGAAGTGATGCTGGCTCTAACCGGGAGAGACAGTGCGCTGGACATTCCCTCACTTTCACATAAACCCTTGTGTTCATACTGTCATAAACGAAGGTTGAGGAGCAAAATCTGTTGTTTAGTCTGAAGCTTAGCTCCGTTAATAGTTCAGGACGACTGAGTTCTTTGTGAACTCCTCCTCTAGGCCTGCCGGAGGCTATTTTATCATTTGAATAAGGTATTTTGTGAGGATTTGAATGCATTATGCTCCTGTTTTGTGTGGTCATCTGGGAGCTTCAGCTTGTCTAAATAATCAGCAATCTTATCTGCTTGCATAATTGTCTTTTCTAGGTGCTGGAGACTTGCGTGAAAAACTGCGGCCACCGTTTTCACATCCACGTCGCCAACAGAGACTTCATCGAAGGTGTCTTGGTGAAGATCATCACTCCGAAGAGTAACCCTCCCGCTATAGTACAGGACAAAGTGCTGTCACTGATTCAGGTGAACTGAGTGAGGCCAATGGCCCAACCCAGATTACAAACTTACTCCTGAACTCTTCCTTTGTTTCGGTAATAATGAATTCTGAGCATTTCTATTCAGAATGGCTGTGGGCTTTAAAGGGTTAGTTCACCTTCAGTTGCTGGTTCCCATTGAGTTGCATAGCGTTTTTGTTTTCCATACTATGAAAGTCAATGGGGACCAGCAACTGAAGGTGAACTATCCCTTTAAGTGGGGCTGGAAACTAGGTCTGATGTAATGATACAGTGTTTCGTTGGTTACCTCTGTAAATAAAGCAGAGCTGTGCTCATGAACAGCAATGATACAGCGTTTCCTGGGTTACCGCTGTAAACAAAGCAGAGCTGCGCTCATGAACAGCAATGATACAGTGTTTCCTTGGTTACCGCTGTAAACAAAGCAGAGCTGCGCTCATGAACAGCAATGATACAGTGCTTCCTTGGTTACCGCTGTAAACAAAGCAGAGCTGCACTTATGAACAGCAATGATACAGTGTTTCCTGGGTTACCGCTGTAAACAAAGCAGAGCTGCGCTTATGAACAGCAATGATACAGTGTTTCCTGGGTTACCGAGTTGCATAGCGTTTTTGTTTTCCATACTATGAAAGTCAATGGGGACCAGCAACTGAAGGTGAACTATCCCTTTAAGTGGGGCTGGAAACTAGGTCTGATGGACTTGGTCTGTGAGGCAGCTTGCAATTGCATTAATTCTAGTTGACTGGAAGCCATTAAAAAAATCAGTTTGCATCAGTTTAGAGTAGACCGCTGACAATTTCCTTGATGGTATACAGGGCATAGCTGCATTTAGTTGTCTCTTGTGTTTTCTCAAATCAAATGGTTACATGGGTTTTTTTTAGCCTCTAAAATTTCACACTGAATTGTAGGGATGTAACGTTTCACTCAACTCACGATTCGATTCGATTCACGATTTTCATTTCACGATTCGATTTTCTCACGATTTTTTTTCTCACGTTTCTTTGTGAAATTGAAATATAACAAAACTAAATTTAAATTTTAAAACAAACCTCAAATTAAACAAGTTACACAAATAAAAGAAATCTCTTAATATGAACAAACTACTGCTTTGTCTGTGCTCTTTCCATTTAAAATTAGAGGCAACCACTGGATTTTAATCATGATGCAGCATACATGTAGCATTAGTAGTTTTTAATCTAAATTAGACTGTATAATTTAAAAATTTGAAGCAAAAACTGAATGGTCTGACTTTAGTTTTGTGAAACTATACTACATAAAACATATCTGAAAGAAACAGCAGACGAGCTGAATGAGACGCAGATTCACTCTCTGCCAGCAGGTGGCGCTTATGAACAGCAATGATACAGTGTTTCCTGGGTTACCGCTGTAAACAAAGCAGAGCTGCGCTTATGAACACTACTTTAATATGCATTGTTCAGAGGCAAGATGAAAAGAAAATACCACGTAAACTTTTCTAAAGATAGTCAGTTCCCCTCAGACATACATTCATATAAACTCCTACTGCAATTGTATCACGATTTGTTTAGCATCTCAACCGATTTGAATCGTCACATATTTGAATCGATTTTCGATCGGCTCGCGGTTAATCGTTACATCCCTACTGAATTGTCTTATTTTTTTATTTTTGATTTTAAATTTTTTGATTTGTGAACTACATTTTCGGGTTGTCTGAGAACAAATTGATCAAATGTGGTCTTTATAAATACCATTATTAGACAACAAGTGTATCCCTAACATTTAGAGCATCTTTTCTGACAATTATGGCAATTGCAACAATTTTCTAACCTAGTGTTTCTCAACCAGGGTTCTAGAGCCCAATAGGGGGCCTCAGCAAACTTCCAAGGGGGCCTTAAAAAAGTTATTTCTTCTATTAATTCAACCCCATGGCTGTTTTCTTTCTATTAAAAACCAAGATTCCCAAGCCTAATTTTACATTTCCTAATTTTTCCTTAACCAATCACCTCTCTGCCTTTGTGTTTCGGTCTAGGCTTGGGCAGATGCGTTCAGGAGTTGCCCAGACCTCACTGGAGTCGTGCACATTTACAAGGAGCTCAAGAGGAAAGGAATTGAGTTTCCCATGGCAGACCTGGACGCTTTGTCGCCCATCCACACACCACAGCGGGTGAGAAACACAACACTCGCAGGCTTTAGCTTTGGGCTCTTGCATATCAGTTTTATTTATTTCACTTCATCTTCTCTTGTGTGTCATTCCAGGGGGTCCCAGAGGTAGATCCAGGCACACACAAATACCGAGCGCCCTCGCAGCCCAACACAGCGTCTCAGACGGCCCCTACACCTGCTGCTGCTGCTGCTGCAACAGCTGACTTCAACCCCACCCAGATCCCAACTGTATCAGGACCGATCACAGCAAACCCAGAGCAGGTCACACAGGTCACACTCACCTCAGAATTTAAAGGGATAGTTCACCCAAAAATCAAAATGTGATGTTTATCTGCTTACCCCCAGGGCATCCAAAAATGTAGGTGACTGTTTCTTCAGTAGAACACAAACGAAGATTTTTAACTCAAACCGTTGCAGTCTGTCAGTCATATAATGGCAGTCAATGGGCTCCACGGCTTCGATTATTATTCTTATATAATGTATAATTTATTAAAGTTGTTAAATTACATTTATTAAAGTTATTTTATTATAAGTATACTGTTTTCATAATCTTTTAGATATTAATCTTAAATTAAGCTAAAATATTAATCTAAAAATAAAATTGCTTAAAAAAAAAAAAAAAATGCAATCACATCCAAGTGCTATTTAATTGCTTTTTGAATTTGCATTTGTTTTTTTTGTTTTCGTTTTTGACAGCAGGTGAAGTAATAGAGAGTTTGTTGATTCTGATGAAAGCTCAGTGTGTGTTGTGAACGCACAGGTCCTGAATGAGGCTTCAGAGGAGGATAATCTAATAGATTTGGGTCCTGGTTCTCCAGCAGTGGTCACTCCTCGGGTCAGCGCTACACCCACATCCACCCTGCAGCCTCCTGCTGCTGCTGCTGCATCTCTCTCCACACAGCTGGCAGGACAAGGTGAGGGTCTCACACACACATCTTAATTAGGATGACAACATAGACTAAATACAGCTAATAAACCTAAAAAACCGTTCATTCAAAAGTATTTAACGTGATTTTTTGTTGTTGTATAATGCAATAAATGTTTTTTTTTTCTATATACCACTGAAAAACTTCTCTTTAACATGATTTACTCCCGGTAGACGTGGGTGCAGACAGCGTCCCCGGGACTCTCAGCTCTCTAACCGCTCGCAACCCTCAGGATGACTTTGACATGTTCGCCCACACCAGGTCCAGCTCTCTGGCCGACCAGCGCAAAAAGTGAGTGCCATTTCCACACCACTATAGTTAAACCACATTTTAAAAAATCAACTCTAAACTATTTTCCCTGCTTATTTTCCAGCGTTAAATATGAGGAACCTCAGGCTCTGGTGGGCCTGGCGTCTGCTTTAGACATCAGACAGCAAAATGCCACTGGGGTGAGTTTCCTACAGCATGTAGCTTCATAATAATGAAGGGTTTGGTGCTAATGGCTGACGAGACTGTCTGAGCACTCAACTGTGTGCATGTTATTACTTAAGACTTCACTGTTTCTCAGAAGATGGGGACTTGAACTAGTTTTGAATGGAAATTTAACACATTTCTAGTCCTCGGTCTTTGCATGTCATTCATAGTCACTTTTGACATAATAATGCTCCTGTTCATGTATTGGTCACAAAATGACATGTTCACAATTAGCCTTCAACATGCCTCAGCTTGTTAATGCCCAGTTTGGGCTGGATATTTGCTGCCAGATTAGCTTGGGTTTGCTTTGGATGAAAGAGTATTAGTTGCTACCTGCATTGCTGTATATATTCCTTACAAAATACCACTACAGTAATTGTTGCTATAATTAAAATGTGATGGTTGGTGTTAGCTGCCATTAAGCTTAATGTCAAAAAAGTTGTTCTAGGTTTCTACACTCAGAAAGGCACAAAGCTGTCATACCGCAAGCTAAAAGGTACATCTTTATACCGTTTTTTCCCCCTAAATGGCACATATTAGTACCTTTTGAAAGGGCATCGCCCCATTGACAGCTTTGTACCTTTTTTCTGAGAGTGTAACACACACTCACACATACACACACACACACACTCACACACACTCACACATACACACACACTCACACTCACACACACACACACCCCCCAGGGCATCCAAGATGTAGGTGACTTTGTTTCTTCAGTAGGACACAAACTGAGATTTTGAACTCAAACCGTTGCAGTCCGTCAGTCATATAATGTCAGTGAATGGGCTCCACGGCTTTGAGAGTAAAAAAAACATACACAGACAAAACCAAATTAAACCCTGCGGCTCGTGACGATACATTGATGTCTTAACACATGAAACGATCGGTCTGTGCAAGAAACTGAATAGTATTTATATCATTTTTTACCTCTGATCCACCGCGATGTCCAACTGTCCTGAGCGCGTTCTCAACATCCGTTTCACAATATTACCGTTTCTGCTGATTTGTAAGCGTTTGGTTTGTGTGTGCAGATCGCGAGGCTGAGAAGTGAGCTGGACATTGTGCGCGGGAATATTAAAGTGATGTCGGAGATGCTGACAGAGATGGTGCCGGGCCAAGAAGACGCCTCTGATCTCGAACTACTCCAGGTCTGAGACTTCCCACTACGCTTTTTTTTGTACAGAGAATATGCATATAAATGATGCCGTATGCTTGGATAGAGCAGCTGAACACAAATTAAATACAGTGGATCCGTGGCCTAGCAGTTAGCACTGGTGCTCAGACACATTGAGCTGTGGTGCGCTCATTGGCTATGTGGGTTCTAATCCAGCGTGCAACATCCCGTTCTCCTTTCTTTACCCCAATACTCACCACGACAATAAAAGTGACAAAAGATCGTAATAAAAAAAGTCCAGATATTTTGAATCTAATGTTTTAAAATAGAGAAGCGCCTCGTCTAGCCTAGTGCATCTGTGCATTATATAGGCTACATATTATGTGCTTTCTATGCTCATCTAGAAAAGTATTCCACAATCTAGACTCAAATGCATTTCATATAAGAAAAACAGCAAAGCTGAAGCGCGTCTTGCGTGTCAGGAGCTGAACAGGACGTGTCGAGCCATGCAGCACAGGATAGTGGAGCTCATCTCTCGCGTGTCTAATGAAGAGGTCACCGAAGAGCTGCTACACGTCAACGATGATTTAAACAACAGCTTCCTGCGCTACGAGAGGTGAGAAGACGTGTCCATCACAAAAAGTTTCCCTCGTCAAGCCTTTATCTGACAGCTCTCAGAGGAAGCTCAGACTCCGCAGTCAGCTCGGGCTTCCCTTTGAGTTCCCTTCCTTTGCTTTAGAGCAGAGCGCTCAGGGTCTGAAAACACATGAACATTTCTTTCATCTCCATCTCGACGAGTGTTTCTGATATTTCACCGGCGCTCTGTGTCCTAACAGGTATGAGAGATACAGAGTGGGCAGAGCAGCACAAAACAACGGGGTGAGTTTGACACGGCAATATTGCTTTCTAAACACAAAATGCTGACTTGTGTTGTATCAGTTTAAAAATGGGCATCTTTTATTTGTTTGTCTTTGTTGTTGAGTATTTTATTGTTTCTTGTCTGTGTGCCCTGTGATAATGTTTGTCTGTCAATTGCATGCTCATGTTTTATTTTTTTTATTGTTTGCATGATGCTTAGCTGAGAGAGGCAAGTATGAGGCATCTCTGCCGTGTAAACCATGGCTGAGCGTAATGCATCACATTATAACTCTTAGAGATCTAGACCCTAGAAATAAAACTATTATTTCTCATTGTCCTCCTTACTTGCCCTATCCTATACAGATGCTATAATATTTCTCAAGCAATTTTTATTGTATGGTAAATCAAGATATATATATGTTTTACTTGAATTAATTAATTTTATTATTGTTGTTGTTGTTATTATTATAGTATATTAATTATATATATATATATATATA